ATGATGTTAACCACATGGAAATTTTACTGTTTGTGGGCGGGCAAGTTGGCGACGTCGAACGTGGGCGGACATTATGCAAATGTGTTACTTTGTGACGTAGAGCCGTAACAGAATAAGATTCGAATTCCTGACGACTCGTTTAGGCGATTGCGAGCCGACTCTTTTTTTTTGATATACAATAACTTTATTTATCGGGCACTGTCGGCTTCACAGCTTTGCAGATAGTTTATGTTCACATACAGCTACATGACACACTGCATGAAAGGTAATATTCGAAAAGGCATAATAGGGGCACTTTAACCACTACAATATCAATTTTATATATATATATAATTTTTTTAATTTTTTTTTTTTGGACCAGATTATGTAGTTGCAAAATCTACCAGCAGGGGCAAATGTACACATGTTAACCGACCAGCCCTACACCGACGCCTTGGTTCAGACAAGCCTAATAGAATGTTCCATGTTTTCAAAACTTCCACTTTGCTAGACACACTCTATGTAATCTAATATTAAAAGTTGACATTAAAAAAAAGTAAAAGTTAGCTTTTAGGTCATTTTAAATACTGATAAATAATAATGCCAAGTTTGATCACTCATTCCACCATGTTTATAATTGCCACTAATGACTTAATCACAGCTTGACTTGATTTGAGTATTATTATTTTCATATATCATATGGAATGTATTTAATATTTTCCTTTAGGTTATTATGCACACAATTCTAAAGTGTAAATTAAGGGTTAGTGTTACAATTTGAACCTCACATAGCTGCATTACTGAGTATGCCTTTTAAAATAACATTGTGGCTAGAGGAATATCCATAATCCCTTGCACTTGGATCATTTAAATGTCCATGTTTGATCAAAACATGGGGAATTACAAAGATGTGTACATTAATTGTTATTTAGATTTAAATGTTGACAATATATGTAGTGTTTTCGAATGTTTTAAATTTTAGGTCACCATTATTGCGATTAATGTTCATTTTGCTTAGGTTTGTCCAGTTCTTTGAATATATCCATATTAACAACTGCTACGTAATTTTACGTTTATTAACTTTCAGGGCTAGACAGTTGTGAAAATGTTTTTCCTAAACTCACAATGTTATGGATGTAATGATAGATCTTTTTTGTTCTGTATTGTGACATACATTTGAGTATTCTGTCCATCTGTTGTTGTTTAGATGGAGGCAGATATAAATGTAAGCATTCGATTGAAGCAAAGGGTCAGGGTTTAAGTGAACAAAATGATTGGTAAAGTCTAGCATAGTCTGTTGTTTCACCAGAAGATTGAGGCATTTTCATTAACTGAGACCTTTTAATTAAAAAATTATGAGGTCCATATGCATGGATACATTCTTCACAGTAACATCAATAACATGCATTTAGAAAATGCATGTTATTATAATTTAAAGTTAGACTGATAGTTTATTCAACAAAATATTTAGTTAAAACAATTCTTAATGTTGTGTCCAAAGGAAGGTTGATTTAACTAAGTAGTAATGAGCAACCATCATACCTTTCAAAAATTTTTCTATTTAGGTACAATTAACTAGTTCTAGTTTTAATTAGGTACAACTAACTACTGAAGCTGAGAAAACTCCAAAATGCTTTGCAGCTGCTTTTGTTATTTTTCACAGTGAATGAATCACAAATGTCTTTTTTTTTTAACATACTTTCAGTAAAACAGCACAAGCTAGTCTGATAAAACTGCGGACAGCAACAGTTGCTACGGTAGGATTGGTCAGTAACCTTTTTAAGGTGGGACTTAGTGCAGGGTCAATTGTTTTGCATCTTCTCTGGCAGCTGTCTCACAGTCACCTCGCTGTAGGATGTACTGATCAGCACACGGGCAGTCCTTTGAGGTGGGGTCTGTTGACAATGAGGGCCCGCCTCTGTGCAATGAAGACAAGCCCCATGGCTGTCCACCAGGCCGTTGGAGAGTCGAGTGGAGTTGCTAGCATCCTTGTTGCAGCGTAGAGATGTTTGCCGTTGAAGATCCTTCTCACCAGGCACAGGGCTTCCTTTGCACGGGCTGGAACATATTCGTTTGCGAATCTGAGCGGTGTCCTTGCTCAGAGATTTACGAAAGTTAGGCTTGAATACCAGGTACACCACAGGGTTGTAGGTAGTGGAGGATTTGGCAAAGATAGCTGCGAATGCAAAGGCTATAGGGGGAACTGTACTGGGTTCCACAAATGCAGCCCACATTGCCACAACAGCGTAAGGGCTCCAGGCGGTCAGAAAACCAATGCACACCGCCACTGAGAGCTATGAGAGAAACAGAAAAAACTCATGAGAACATTTTCACACTTTCTGGAGAAAAGTAGTAAATGGGTCATTCTTCATTTGCAGTGGAAACAGTACTTTTCAACAGTAGAAATTAAGTCCCTCTGCAGTCATTAATTTTATCCCTTAAAACTCAAACAATCAAAAGCAGTGTTGGGGAAAGTTACTTTTAAAAGTAATGCATTACAATATTGCATTACTCCCTAAAAAATAAACTAATTACGTTACTTAGTTACTTTTTATGGAAAGTAATGCGTTATATTACTTTTGCGTTACTTTCGCATTACTTTTTAAATATGAGCAGGGCTTGATTGTTTTTAATATAAGAAGTTCTATTTATAGCAAATATAAAAGCCCTTTCACACCAGAAAGTGTAATGAATAAACCTCAGGCTGAAGCAAAAGTTAATTCACGTCTGTACAGTAGAACGCAGGAGAAGAAACTCTCTTCAGCAATAAAAAAACGAAGCACAATTGTTAGTTTATCTAAAGTCATTTTTGCTTATTAGTATGGTTGAACTGGATCATCAAAGGTCAGCAGCAAAGACATCAGTTAATAAAATGGGATTAGATACATTTGTGTTATTTAACATATTTAATTATTGCAGGTTTGCATCATATTCTGAGTTTGCATTTCACTGTTTTAATTCATTTTGATTAATACTAAATCTGTTTTTTGTAAGTGGGATGAATTAATGCACATTCACATTTAGTCTAGAACTACAGTAACATTATGTTCACACAGCGCACACAATTCCTCTGCACTTCCGAATTCTCCTAATATGGGGACAGGAGACTTGTCAGTCAATAAATGGGAAAACAAAGTAACTGGCATTACTTTTTTGAAAAAGTAACTCAGATATTTTCTTGTAAATTAAAAAAGTAATGCGTTACTTTACTAGTTACTTGACAAAAGTAATCTGATTACGTAACTCGCGTTACTTGTAATGAGTTACCTCCAACACTGATCAAAAGTGACGTGAAAATAATGCCTTCTTCCCTAAAATGGCATGGAAAAAACTCTACATTCTTACGAGAGAATTAAGAGGAAAAACAAATTACACAGGGTTGTCTACAAGTCCATGTACAGTATCAGAATGGTAATGCATTTTATGTATCACTCTCTCCAATGTTGGGCACATACAGGTAACAGTAATTAATATAATTATTCTTTGACTTGAAAACGTTATCAAACAGCTAATAATCCATTGCTAATGTTACATAAACCATGTTGCCATTTGTCATCTCAGACAGCTACTTTCTAAAAATCTGAAATAGGGGCTGTTTCATCCCACATTTTTGAGACTATTATTACTATTATTATTATTATTATTATTATTATTTTATTTCTAATTTTTTCATGGCCCCCTAGCACCCACTTGCGTCCTTCTTGTGTTTCCTGGAGCCCAGTCTGACAACATCTCTTTTAAATGACTCTGCATGTCATTGCACCCAGTCCTTAAGCACTGAGGTTTTGCACTCTCACCTTCACAATGAGGATATGTACATTTGTTGTCTTGGTCTGTGGCGACACATGTTGCTGTACTGCCTGCCGTGACCCTCTTACAGTGATGAGGATCAGAATGTAGGAGAGGAGGATGATGGCGAGAGGCAAGGCATAGCAGAAGAGGAAGAGGCAGATAATATAGGACATGGACAGAGTATCCTGGCTTGGTGCATACCTAAAAGATGAAAAGAGGACAGGACATATCAGTGGTGATGGTAATCAGGAGCACTGCTAGAGTTTCTGGGACCTCTGTACAGTTTATTTCCCTGGGCTAAAATCACTGATTGCTGATTGTCTGAATCGTCCCAACCGTTTTCCCCCCCAATATAGTGACCCTGATATGCCTTTGTTCATATGCCCAAATTGGTGGTATCTCAGGGCCACCTAAGTTTGTGAGTTTAAGGTCCATCCAGGGTGGATTTAAGCAAAATGTTTAAAGAGCCTAACCAAGAGGTTGATGAATCAAAACCATCCACTACTAGGACTTTTTTACTTATATACAGTAGATACTTAGTTTTTACTCAAAGCAAGGCTGCCACAGTCCTATCATAAACTGGCCATTGTTTAGCCAAACCTTACATATAAAAAGCAGCTCTTAATACAGGCCAAAAGTCAAGTTGTTTTGAAAATACCTGGGTATAGGATTTCTCCTAAGGCGAGGTCCCATAACTCAGAGGTTGATGGATCAAAACCATTCTTTGCTACAGTATGAATTCCTTGGTCCAGGTGTAAAACACAAAGCCTCTTAGTCCTAACACTATTGGAATACAGTACCAATCTAGTTTATTGTTTATCGACTTCAGTCTATGGGATCCATTTCTCAGAATGTTTTATATTTCTCCCTGTCTAACCAAAAACCCACTGATTTCATGATTAAACCACTTATGGATATGGGTCTATTCCACAGTCCAGATGTAAAACACAAAATCTCTTAGTCCTTAAACTATAGCAATGCTGCATGAATGTTCTGAGGAGCTGTTGAAGTACACTTTGATCTAGATCACTATGTTTGTTTCAAATACCATTCAAATGTCACTGAACCACCTGTCCAGGACCGAGAATTATTGGGGGCACATAAACCCCACCCCAGTGGCCGAATGGAAAAGGCACTGAGACAAGCCAGCAATTGTGGGTTCAAAGGCAGCGATATTCAAAAATAAAACCATAAAAAGAGTGGAGTAATTTTGTTAGAGTGCGCTCCATGTGATCTCAATAGAACATGCAGTGCATTCGATTACTTTAAGAAATGTGTCATTTTTGATGATAAAATACTTTCTCCTATCCCAGTTCATTTTGCAGCTATAAATAAACCATTTGTAGGCTGACTTTCCAAAGAGTGCAAAGTACAATGTAGCTCTGTGGCACTACAAAACTACCAAAGTGATCACATTTACTATTTTTCCTTGGCAGATGATAAAACAAATTCCAATATACTTGTACATATGGAGAGACCCGAGCCATATCTAAAGACCAGAATATCAGTCTCTAGACAGGAATAGGGACACTCAGAACACCAGAAAACACACACACACACACACACACACACACACACACACATGTTGTGTTTCCATGTTTTATGGGGACATTCCATAGACGTAATGGTTTTTATACTGTTCAAACTGTATGTGCTATTGCCCTACACCAACCCTACCCCTAAACCTACCCCTTACAGGAAACTTTGTGCATTTTTACTTTCTCAAAAAAACTAATTCTGTATGATTTATAAGCTTGTTTCCTCTTGGGGACCTCAAAAATGTCCCCAAAAGGTCAAAATTTACTAGTATTACTATCCTTGTGGGGACATTTGGTCCCCATAACGTGATAAATACCAGGTACACACACACACACACACACACACACACACACACAAACACTTAGAACAGCTGAACAACTGCAATGCCCAGACAATTACACAGAAAACCCTAGTATTCTGACAGTGAGCTGCAGTGCCGCTAATGGCATATAAATTACACACATCACCTTTAGGCTGACTTTTTGGCTTTGTCTGTTTTCCTGAGAATCTTTCAGTGCGTCCATTAACATCCTCCCAGGCACTTACCAGTCTATGCAGCATGCTGTCCCATAGGGTTCAGGGCCATAGTGACCCCAATTTGCCAAGGGACCCACAGCAAACACCATGGCATAGCACCACACCCCCACTATCATCAGACAGGCATGGGAGTAGGAGAATTTGTTACCTGTTAAAGGAAAGCAAATCATAGAAGTATTTATTTAGCACAAAGTACTGATCACTCTTAAATGTTTTATACTGTGCTGGAGAATATTACATACGAACTACTGATTAGAAACATAAAATGAAAACTGAAAAACACATTTTGAAAACACAAAACTTTTTCCATTTAGAAGCACACCACTTCATGTTGCCCCAATCCATTAATCTCCCATGTGCTTACGAGGGAAAGATTCTGTACCAAGAAATCTATGCTGTGCAGATGAGTTATCGATCAAACATCAATAATCCTTATTCCTTTATTCTTGCAATTTGTCAGAAGTACATGAACAATTTTTTTTGAAGGGAGGCCATAGAACATTGAAGTCATGAACAATAGGATGCTGTGGGCGTGACATTTTTTTAGACCAAAACTCATAAGCGAGTTCCCTTTCGAACTTTCTCTCACGTTGTGTATGGGGAAACTCCTGTTTACACTGATACTGAAGCCTGATTTGTTCATGTTTGTGTAGCTGCACAAACCAATGGCGCTCTAGCCCGCCAGAATGGGTGGAGCCGACCTCTATATAAGTCGGCTCAGAGCGTCATTTCATCAGAATATTCTCCTTCAGCGACGAGGATCATCTCTTTGCTGACGCTGGACTACGAAGCCGAAGAAGAAGGAAGAAGCTTAGCCTGCAGCTTGCCGCCGTCGAAGAGCCCCAGCAGAGGAAGAAGCCTTCCCCTGTGGCTATCCGGCGCACTAAGACAGCAAATTTCTGAGAAAATTTCCTAGCGATGTTGTTCAAAATGTCGCGCTGCGAGTGGGGCACGTGCAGGGCTTCCCGGAAGGACGCAGTGAGTGCGTCGCCCATCTGGGCAGCGCCCATGCAGAGACTGCGCACTCACTGAGACGGAATGTGCTCACTGAGAGCATGAGTCTTGCTCTTCTCCAGTCGCGAATCACCTTCAATGAAGGCAGCCCCGTCCTCGTTTCTCCTCTCTCAGCGAGCTCGGAGAAAGAAATGGTGAGACGCGGAGCTGAGCAACCAGGTTGTGTGATCGCATGCCGGCATAGAGCCCGCGTGTTCACTCTCCCCCACCACTTTGATCCGCCGGTGTACTTTACACGTAAGGATCAGCGCCCCTCATTACATCGAGTGACTCTATCCTTCTAGGCAGGTTGGAGTAAAATGCTATCACCAATGATTCTCTATTGCTGACAACTTCATTTGTGTGTGCGCCACTGAGGCTGTGCTCGCTGAGACAGGCTGCTTTCACTGCGAAAGCATGAGTCTGTCCCAGCTTCACTCGCGGATCGCTTTCTTCAATGAAGGCGACCCCTCCCCTCCCGTTTCTCCCTCTCAGCTGCCTCGGAAACTCACGGTGTTGAGCGACCAGGATTGAGTGATTCACGCCGGCACAGATCCCGCGTGCTTCACTCTCCACGCAGCTCTTTGACCTGCTGGTGTGTTTTACATGTAAAGATTAGCAGCCCTCGTCTGCTTCGAGCGGTTCGATCTTTTTTGACGGATCAAATGAGAATGCTGTCACCAATGATTCTATATCGCTGACAGCTTCAGTTTTGAGTGTGCCGCTCGCCTGGGCCACGCCCACGCTGGGGCTGCGCTTACTGAGACAGATCGCTCTCACGATGAGAATGTATATCTCGCTCTGCTTCGCTCGCGGTTCGCCTTTTTCAATGAAGGCGGCCCCGTCCCTCCCATGCTCACGTTCTCCCCTCCCAGTTGCCTTGGAGGATGAAACTGTGAAGTCGCGGGGCTGAGAAATAGGTCTGGAGTGATTTCACTCCGGCATAGGTCCCGCGTGCTTCACTCTTCCTACAACACACTGATCCGGCAGTGTGTTTTACGCGTGAGGATTAGCACCCCTCGTCTGCATCGAGCGGTTTTATCCTTTTAGGCATATCTAAAGATGAACGCAGCATAGACTGGGCCACGCCAAGGCTGCGCTCACGGGGGCTGACTGCTCTCACTGAGAGAGCATTAACCTAGCGAAGCACTTTTGAGAGGAAAAGGAAGAATCAGTTCTCGCTGAGGCTGGGATCCCCTCTAAGAAAGCTTGCGCTCGCTCTCCATCCCTCCGTTCAACACTGAGTGATGGAAGTATTATTCAAGCTGGGCACGTCCTTCAAGTTCAGTGCATGCCCAAGCAAACTACCGCTGACAGCAGAGATATACAAAAGATCATTTCTCCTCTCCTCACTCTCATAAATACAAGTTCCCCGCCCTTGTACGGCAAACTTCCATTCGTAAAATTAGAACCTCTTGCCACCCGGTTCAAGGCTTGGGCAGCCATTCCCGGTGTTTCAAGTTGGGTTCTAAATACGATAAAACGAGGTTACTCGCTCCAGTTCGCTCGCAGGCCACCTCGTTTCAGAGGTATTATTCACACTTTGGTACAGAACAACGAAGCTCATGTTCTTCGGTCTGAAGTACAAACATTGCTTTCAAAAGGTGCCGTGGAAGCAGTACCTCTAGCAAACAGCAAGTCAGGCTTTTCAGCCGCTACTTCCTTGTGCCGAAGAAGGACAGCGGGCACAGATTTATTCTAGATCTCAGACTTCTGAATAGCTCTCTTATCAGACGGCCATTCAGGATGTTAACTTTGAAACAGATCCTCGCGCAGGTTTGTCCCGAGGACTGGTTTCTGACAGTGGATCTGAAAGATGCATACTTTCACATCCACATAACCCCCCGCCACAGACCGTTCTTGAGATTCGAGGGAGTGGCCTATCAGTACACAGTCCTACTGGACTGTCTCTGGCCCCTCGCACTTTTATGAAGTGCATCGACGCGGCTTTTTCCCCTCTGAGACAGATCAGAATCCGCATCCTCAATTACCTCGACGACTGGCTGGTTTTAGCCAGATCAGAACGGGAGCTAATCGCACACAGATCGCTGCTGATAAGCCATCTGGAGAGCCTCGGGTTGAAAATCAACTCGCACAAGAGTCAATTGTCTCCCAGAGAGTGAGCAGTCTTTCTGGGGACTGTTATAGACTCTGCCCAGATGCGGGCATGGCTTACGCCGGAACGGTCCCTGACTATTCAGTGACTGGCGGCATCTTTCAAGCCAGGAACTTCGGGTCCCCTCAGGAGTTTCCAGAGGACGCTCGTCCTAATGGCAGCCACCTCCTCTGTGATTCCTCTAGGCCTGCTTCACATGCGCCCTCACCAATTTTGGCTCAAAGCCCATGTTCCGTCCCACACCTGGCACCTGGGTCGGTTTAATGTCAGGGTAACCCATCACTGTATCAGAGCTGTGGCTCTGATCAAAAGGGATGCAGTCATATTCCGTTCAGTTTGATTGACTTGTTTCTGGTTCCTGTCTGCTGTGCTGCTGAGTGGTTTGTGATTGTAGCTCTGTGAAGCTTTGTTTTTCTGTTGGAATCTCTCTTACTATCACTTTCTGTTGTTTAAACGGCTAAAATAGAACTTAATTCTCACCATATTTCTGATATTATCTATCAAACTAATTTGATATTGTTTGATTTTTAATCTAAACCTCGAGTGCAGCACATTAGCATTCTGTTAGTCTGTTAGCTTGTCATTTGTGCCTACCATTTATTTTCTCTCTCTCTCTCTCTCGCTCCGTTTTTCACAAGTTCATCAAACAAATGTGGTAAGTCAGAATCATTCAAGAATCTTGGTGAGTAAAGGCTTCTCATGTTATTGTCACTTGCACTGCTTGCCACATGTATAGTGCAGCCTTCTCTTTTAGCACGCGAGGGATTCACATGCGATAAATGCAGGGAAATAGTTAGGCTGACAGAGAAGATTTCAGAACTAGAGACACGCATCCAAACTTTAATTGAGGATAGTAAGAATGTGAGGGCCTTAGATACGGCTTTGGATGTGACTAGCTTAGTGAGTCTCGTACATTGTTCGGTTCCAGTTGCAGAGTGACTGAGGCGGCATAGTCGCGGGACAAAACATGGCTCTTCTGTTCTGATTAAAACATTAAACAGGTTCTCCCCACTCAGTGACGCACCCACTGAGAAACCTGTTGAAAGAGCACTAGTTATTGGCGATTGTATTGCACGGAACGTGAAAATAGAGACACCAGCCACCATAGTCCAATGTTTACCGGGAGCCAGAGCGCCTGACATCTTGGCAAATTTAAAAGTCCCCTCCCTGCTTACTGTGTTGACGAGATACATAGCAGACTGTTGTCACTCAATGGCTGGATGTCTAAGTGGTGTCCGCAGAAAAACATAAATTTCATAGACAATTGGACGAGTTTTTGGGGCAGACCTGACCTGTTGAAAAGAGATGGTCTTCATCCCTCCAGGGGTGGTGCCGCTATTCTCTCTAGAAATATGGCACATAGTCTTAGAGTTTGTACTTGACTAACTGAGGCTCAGGTCAGGAAGCAGACAAACTGGCTAAACCGACCGTGTGCTAGCTGCCTCATGTCACAGAAGTCAGTTAATTCTCAGCACATATAGACTCTTTCACCTAGACGTCACACAATAGAGACTGTGCCTGTTCCTCAAACTAGCAAATACAAACGCCTCCAAACGATTTAACTGCTCTCTCCTGAAGAGGACTCAAAATCCCTGCGATAAATAACATGTTTTTAAAAATATATGGGCTAATATGGACTGTTATATATGGTTTAAAACATGCTTTGATATAAAAAAATATATATTATAAATAAAACATAGCCTATAATATTGTCAGACTTTTGGACCCGTTTTGCCTCTGTAGTTCTTCCTGTGTTTTCCTTTTATGGTCTTTTTCCTGTTCTTGTTTAGTTTGATTACTTGTTGGATGTTGTGTGTTTCCCCTGTTCCTGTTGTGGATTTACCCCTGTGATTCAAGTAATTAAGACTGTTGAACGTTTCTCTGCGTCTCCATCGTTCCTCCCACAGCAAATCGTGACAGAAGACCCTCCATGTGTCCAACCTCCGTTTTAGTTTCCTGTTTTCTCTTAGTGTTTTTGTTTCCATTGTGTTTCCCTTCATGGATGCCCTCTTTCGCTGGAGCAGGGGGAGAGATCTCTCGAGGACCATACAAGACTGTTCTGGCTGTTAGCTAGCACCACCAGATACCCGGACGATGTGCTCTGCTCATTCTATGACGCAAGCTTGAACACCGCGAGCGGAGCGCCGTCATCCGAAGATGGTCCTCCAGAGGATTTCGCCACATTTGTGGAGTGGATTCTGGCGAGAAACGGATCGCCTCTCACCGCCTCTCCCAAGGATGATCTCGCCAGATCCACTCCTGACCCAGAGCCCAGCCCACCATCTCCCCACGGTGCAGACCATCAGCCCGACCCCACCAATGACGGAGAGCCCTCCTGCATAATCAGCATACATTTTTCCTGTTTAACACTGTAAAGCTGCTTTGACACAATCAGTATTGTATAAAGCGCTAGATGAATGTGACTTGACTCGATATGCGGTCTGTGGTTAACACAAGCTCAAGATATTTTTATGTTTTATTCTACACTGTAAAATACATCAGTAATAGCCCATTGTCTTGAAAAAGGCGGTTTCTAACAAGTGTCTAAATGGGATTACAGGGGTTGTTGGGTACTTTAAATGCCATCACACCAAACAGATAAACTCATCTACTCACTAGTCCGCTTTCACAGCCTTGTTGTGTGTATAATCACACTCTTGCAAACTACTCAAACTCAAACTTTCAGCAAAAATGTTTTTTAAAATAAAGACTGAAAGAGTTGTTGGAAGCTACATTTAGCTTTTTACTTCTTCCGATTGTATTTAGCCCTCAAAATTCATAAAAGTTGTGTTCATTTGTGACAACTATCATGATGAACAAAACGTTTCTGTAATAATCAAAAAGCCAATGGAAAAATCAAGGTTTGGTCAAGGGAACCAGGGTGATGCTAACTTCCGGTTTGGCCTACAAAAGTACATCACTGCAGCACTATATATGACCCTGGACCACAAAACCAGTCTTAAGTCGCTGGAGTATATTTGTAGCAATAACTAAAAAAACATTGTATGGGTCAAAATTATTGTTTTTTCTTTTATGCCAAAAATCATTAGGACATTAAGTAAAGATCATGTTCCATGAAGATATTTGTAAATTTCCTACTGTAAATATATCAAAACTTAATTTTTGATTAGTAATATGCATTGCCAAGAACTTAATTTGGACAACTTTAAATGTGATTTAGATTTTTTTGCACCCTCAGATTCCAGATTTTCAAATAGTTGTATCCCGGCCAAATATTGTCCAATGCAAAGCTTATTTATTCAGCTTTCAGATGATGTACAAATCTCAATTTTGAAAAATTGACCCTTATGACTGGTTTTGTGGTCCAGGGTCACATATAGGGTTTGCCCTTGTCAAATGAGTCCAAGCAAGACCTCAAAGCAATTCAGTTGACTGAAAGACCTTTTAATAGGAACCTTGTTCTAAGCCTGATTAGAAACCCTAAAAGTTAGATTTATGATATATGCTGTCATATGTAAATATGACCATTAATGTCCTATAAAAATTCTCATCTAATGGTAAATCACTATATATTGCGATATTAAACATTTCTTTCTTTTCTCCTTTTTTTTTTTAAATTTCAGCAAACTACACTAGCATATTTCTAGCTTAAGTCTATACTCTACAAGTCAATTACCCTACAATCTTCATGCATTTGATTAGACATTACAAACCAGGATTTTACACGGACCCATTTAATTGAATGGACCCTGCTGTTTATGACACCATAGCCAGAATGTAAAATATAAAGAATGTAAAAATACTGTTTCGCTTATGAAATCCTCAGATAAGCATAGATGGTAGTATGCAGGCTGCGTACTTATTGGTGCGTCAGCTGAGCAATTACCATTGAGATGAATGGGAATGCTTACGCACTCCTTGGTTACCCTCAAGGGCCGGTTCACACAGAATGTGTTTTTGCTTTGAAAAACGTGTGATGTGAGCAATGGAATGGGAAAAAATGCAAGGTCTTGATACATTTTTTTAAAAAGCTGTACTTTTTCGGACTTAAACACCACATTTTTAGAACGCTGTGTCGTGTGCGAGATGCTCCAAAAAGACGCGAGACGTGAGCGCAGCAGTCAAACATGTCTGTCTAGTGCAAGCTTAGATGGAAAATGGAAAAGTAGCACGGTGAAATGGAAAAACGTGTTCTGTGTGAACAGCCCCCAACACTGCTTACATAAACTATAATGTACTATATTACTCTATAATTATGGCATCTATCAGGTGCAGAGCTAAAGATTCACAACCTATCTGGCAACATGTCCTTTAAAATAAGGCTTTAACTGCATCCCAAATATGTTTGCTTCTCTTCCACCTACAGAATCCATCTGTTCACCTGCTGTCCTCCTTGCCATCTAAATCTCTGTTCTCAAACTCACCCACATGCCGTTAATCTACTCCATCTAAATTGTCTCCTCTCTCCCACACACCCCTTCATCTTTTTAACAGTCAGTCAAAAGTTGAAACTGACAAAACTAATGAACTCTAATGAGGCCAACTGCTCCTGTCCATACGTGGGAGTATTGACCAAAAGCCAAATGAACAAGGGGCATCTAGAGCCTGATAAAAGCTAGAATATCCAATAATGACACTGAAAGCTATAAGGTAATGAATTTTCCTTTGGGGTGCATCACGACAGGACAGAAGGGATTCGTGGAGCTGCAACCGATTCCTAATTAAGATATGGATGAGGGCCAGGGAGGAAGATAAATGTATTTGGTGTGAAAGGTGTCGAGGAAGAATACCATAGTTTGGGAAGCAGACTTTGAGGCAGCAGACGGACGACAGAGCGGTGAGATTTGTCAGGCTGCATAAGCCGAAGAGGACGCCACATACAGCATAGCATAAACATGTCAGCTCTCCGAACAGCCACCTGAGAGAATGAGAGAGAAGCAAGTAAAGAAAGCAATGAACAATGATTTCTGGGTTTCAATATAATCATCATTACATTACAAATGTGGCACAGAAGCCAGATCTGAAATGGTTGAAAAATGTTGCCACAGAGTTTTGAATTTGACATTTAAACAGGAATAACATGGAAAACAATGAATCACATGCACATTGTTATGGAAGCCAGTTAAAAATTTAATAATCAAATCAAGTGAATAATTAGTCATTAAAACTTAATATTTTCATAATTTTGACTATTTTTCATAATTACATTTTTTATCTCACAACGTGACTTTTTTACATTTGAAATGAGTTTTTCTTGTAATTATTTTTTTTTGTTGAAATTGTGAAATCTCATAACTATAAATTTATTTATGTAATTGAGATTTTGTCTCACAATAAGATTTTGTCTTACATTTGTGACTGTATATCTCACAGTTGATACTTTATTTCTCATATTTGCTCGTTTATTTCTAGTTATTGCAATTTTATATCATGCAAAGTGATTGTGTCTTAGTTTTGACTGTATATCTCACAACTGCTACTTTATTTTTTGCTACTTAATTTTTTTGTAGATCACATTTGCAACTATTTCTTGTAAATGTAATTTTATATCACAATATAATTTTGAATCTCGATTACCATTTTATTTCTTGTGATTTTATGTCTTACAGTTGTGACTGTATTTCTCACAATTGCCACTTTAATTGCAACTTTGATTTTCATAATTATTATTTTATATCTCAAAATATAATGTTGTATTTCACAGTTGCCACTTTATCTTTGTGATTGCGATTTTATATCTCACTATGTGATTTTTTTTCTAATTGCAACTTTATATTTTGTAATTGTGACTTATTTCTGTCAATTTATACAACAATTGATCTCCCAATGAGACTTACTTTTCTTATTTTAAACTTTATCTCAATTATTACTTGTTTTATTTTTACTCTTGAGACTGAAAAAGGCTTCCATACATTGTTGATTCTAGTACTAGAACAAAAAACAAGACTAATTCTGATTGTCATGAAAACAGCAAAGTCTAACGCTGCGTCTCAACCATCTGCAGCATGATAAAATGTCAAGCTGCTGTATTTTTGGTTGCTAGTAGGTGTTCCTACTCAACTGCATTATCCAGCTGTATAAAGTTTGTCACATTGTGGCACAGTGTTAGGCAGTACTACTGCAGCTTTGGTCCTGTGTCAATGAAATGGAGCATCAGAGCTGCTTTAGACATTGTCTCTGATATGGGGGTGGGAATATTTTAGCACAGACTTCTTATGGCATCTGCCTACTTGTGAGCAAAGGCTGATGGAATCGCCAAGGGAAAGAGAGTAACTGTCATCCCAAGGTCACTAATAGATAAATTTATGATGAAGAATTCTGCCGGCTTGAGAGATGATCTCTTACGATACGCAACAAGGAGCAGGATGCCATTTCCCAAGAGTGACAGAATACCTAAAAAGAGAAAAAAAAAATTTGGTGAATAGTCACTAACGCAAGCACTTTTTTTGTGTTTTTCCTTGTTCTAACTCCCTGCAACCCCTATTTTACAGTTTTGTTATTGCTCTGACAGCTTGGCAAGACCTGAAACGGCTATGATTTATTCGGACACTTTACGATTTGAAGTCACTCTTTAAACTGCCATATGTCCTCGTGCTCCACTTGCCAATGACCTCTGAAGTTTTGTTCTAACATCCCTCAAGACTTTAACATTTACAATACAGTATTGCCGTATCTCAAGAATCAAAATTTGGATAAAAACATACCTAATGCATAAATACAAGTTTATGATTGGCACACAATCATGTAACAAACTTAAAACTTAAATTTAAGGAAGTGGAATGAAACACGGCTATTTAGTTTGGTTTTTAGAATGGTGGTTTTAGATTTATGATTTGGATTTATTATTGTTCAGTTCATCAAGTGCATAACCTCACATCCTTGTGGTAAGTTTTATAATGCTTATTTAACATTATTTTCCAGGCAATGATGTAAAGCAATTAAACCTTAAATACCTTGGGGTGTTTCATGCAATTGCATCCTATTCAGAAAATTCAAGGTCAGCATCAAGTGCAAATCAAAGATAACAATTCTAGGAATTAGCAGTTCAGCAACAATAATAGAGGCCATGGCAATTGACCTATTAGAAGATACTGAGAGCCATAATTCAATGCCAGGTATCAAAACTATAAGAAAGACAGGCATCTTACAGAATGTAAGTTTAAAAAGAATGTTCATGTGCATTTTAAAGAGGAAAGATTAACTATAAAAGGAAATTGTTAAATAGTATAGGAAAAAAGTAACGATGCATAGAAATTTTAGAATTTAAGAAAAATTCTTTTTTAGAAATCTTTTTTTATTGCATGTCTGAAATATCCCAATAAATATCTAAATAAATATGTTAAATAGGTTTTAGTTTAATGAATAAAGTGTTGCATGCTTACAAAAGCTAGATGTTTTCTCATTTTTCCTCAAGTCAATTATTCACATATAAAGTGGCTGAACAATAAATTTTGCATTTAATGAATAATCATTCAAAAGAAATAATCAAATGTATTACACTGAATTACATTCAACAGTGTATCTTTCCATTCCTCTCTACTTACAGTAAATGCATTCTGGATTAAATGAAACCCATAGCCTATGCCGACACTCAGCATTGCAGCATAATATATTAACAAGCTCTTTAATTTTTCTTCATTTACATTTTGTCTGATTTATGTGTTGTTTTATTTGTTGTTACTTTTAGTACCTAGTACTTTTTACTTAAAAACTGTTTGTTGACTTTCACCATTGCTGACCTAAACTACAACAGTATTGCATCTCACTATAGTCCTTCTAAACCATAATGAAATAATTTCTGCTGCAATATAATCTGACTGATTCATATGTCCTCATCAACAGAATATGTAATACATTTTAAATTTAGGATGAGTTATGATAAATTCTACTCTAAATCACCACAATGTAAAATCAACATCAATGCTCTGGCATTCACTGGCATGTCAAATTTGACCTCTTCCTATGAACTCAAATAACAAGTTCCGTAAACATATTTTAAAACGTGTCAAGGAACAATTGCACATTAAAAAGAATGGGTGTGCGTAATGTCAACAGAGCAGAAAAAAATGAAGTAAATAGGTTAACAGTGCATTATCTTTTACAGTGCAATGAATTCGTCAGAGAAATTAAATATTTCCTTTCAGCAAATTATTTATTAGCAAACAAGAAATTTTAATTTGGCACAATTTCATTTGTACTTATTGTTGATATGAAGTGAATTGTGTAATCTTTGCCTCTGGCAAAGCAGAGACATTGGATTTGTGTAATAGTTTAAAATCACTTCAGTAAAAAAAGATGAGTTCCTAATATCACACAGCAAGTAACAACAACAAAAAGGGCATAAATTAAGTCATACAATAATCCCAAAAGGTTAAGGTTAAACCTGACCGACAGTGGTAACAAAAGCAAATGTGGGCTAAAAATACATTTGCTGAAGCAACTATGTAATTTTAGTTTGCTTGTATGAGGCTTTGAGCTCTTTTGTTGAGTGTTGTGACTCATGTTTCACAGGACTCGTACCAGGTGAGCCACCAAGCAAGTTTACTATGTCAAAAAAGCCATCCATATGGTCAGTACTGGGTATTAAATGATTACATGTAATTGTAGTGAACAGCACATTCCAGGGCCCAGTTTATGGCGGGGCCCCTCTCTGACCATGACAGTGGACAAAGGTTTGCTACATTTTGATTGAATCTTGGTGGACTAACATAAGCAAACTGTCCAACACCATCAGATAAAGATGCTATGACAACAACCAGACACCTCTTAGAGGGCAAAAAAGATGATCTCTGGTACCAAGCCCGGGAAGGATAGGACTTCTCATTGGTCAAAATCCGAGGTCCTGACTCTCTGTGGTCATTAAAAATCCCATGATGTCTTTCGAAAAGAGTAGAGGTGTGACCTCGGCATCCTGGCCAAATTTGCCCATTGGCCTCTGATCATCATGGCCTCCTAACAATCCCCATATCTGCTAATTGGCTTCATCACTCTGTCTCCTCTCCACCAATAAGCTGGTGTGTGGTGGGCGTTCTGGCGCACTATGGCTGCCGTCGCATCATCCAGGTGGATGCTGCACACTTGGTGGTGGATGAGGAGATACCCCCTGACAATGTAAAGCGCTTTGAGTGCCTAGAAAAGCGCTATATAAATGTAATGAATTAAAAATGCAGTTTCTGCCCTTCACCCACCTGATCCCTAAGATTTTGGCTTGTGACCACCATAAAAATTCCTTAGGACCTCCAGGATGCCATCCAAATACATTCATAACTATGCTTTCAAACCTTAAAACTGATGCAATCTACAACACAGCCATCTTATGCTTATTCAGAGAAATAAGTATTCTCAGTGACAGTGATTTGTAGTGCAACATCTTAAACAAACTTAGCTGTTAATGGACGTGAATGTATGCATGACAGTTCGATCTATTTCCATCATGTTTGGATTTCATGCGTTCATAACATTGCCAAAGGTATTCTGGTTGTGGTTTGGTAAGTGAGAAATGCACTGGTAAAACTTTAGTGACACTTTTCTAACTTTGTTTTTGGACTATGCAAATAAGTTCCACTGGAGGAAAGAAGGGTGGGCCACACTGTGTCCCCCGCTCTGATGGAAATGGCCAATCACAGCATGGAAATGGAGAAGTGACAAATTGCAATCTTCTCCTCATTGGAAAGGGATAAAGGTACCCTTCCAAAAGATCTTCCTCCTCGTTCTGAGTCTCCGGCTTGTCAAAGGGAAGAGACATTAACAGATACACAGTTCCGAGTCTGCTTAGAGAGACACTAACAAATCACCAATGTTCTGATCCTCTGGCTCATGAAGGAAGAGGCAATAACAGATAACAAGTCCTGAGTCTTCAGCTTTTGAGGCAGCAACAGATATGACTACGTTCTGAGCCTCCAGCCTGTGAGGAAAGAGATATTCTATGTTCAGAGTCTTTGTCCAGCGAGACAACAACAGATGCAGCACGTCCTGAGTCTCCATCCTAGAGAGACAATGCGGATTGACAAAGTTCTGAGTCTCTAGCCCAGAGAGGCAGAAAACATACAGACATTTGCAACAAGGTTAAGCTCTGGCGAGCAAACCTTCACTTCAAGGTACTTTCGGCTGTGTGTTCCAGGCTAAGGACCTTCTGCACCTACTTCAGGGCCACGTCTGCATTCCAAAATTCACGACCCTTTGGTGCTCCAGGAGATCAGCATCCCACAGTGCTTCATGTTCAAGGCTGTTGAAACAGATTCCTCCTCCTTTCCCCACTGCATTGTTACCAGCACAACCAATGAAAGAAGTCACCGCCACCAGACTGCTCACTCGACCACAGAGAACGTATATATCACTTATCCAAACCTCTTCCAGAGACCTTGGCACTGTTTTTATATTATCAGTATATTATTTTCTAGTTTACATTAGTTCAGTCAGGACCTTTTAAGTCAAAAGTTAATAATAATAATGTAAATAAATACTAAAGACAGATTTTCAACTTTTAATTAGTCAACTTTTAATTGGCATGTTTTGCTGAATGTACATTTGGTGGTATGACTTTGTTCTAAATTCCAGTCCTTTTCATGAGCTCCATGAAAAGTTACGACAGGGAAATAGTAGCGGCTTGTAGGGGTAAAAATCCCAATTTAAGACTGGGAGAGCTGCACAGAAATCCCCCGAGAACAGAGCATGCAACAATGACTACAGATGACATTGTTTAATGGCGCTTTTCCACTGAATGGTATGGCACAGCACGGCACGGCTTGCTTTTTTTGGGGGGGGGGGTTCCACTATGTACAGGACCTGGTACTTTTTTCAGTACCACCTTGGTTGAGGTGGAAGAAGCGAAGCGAGCCAAACCGTTACCAAAATGTGACGTGTAAACCCTGCTGATCACTGATTGGCCAGAGAGAATCGTCACTACCTGCGTCACTGAACTTGCAACACAAACACAAAAGAACCAAGAAGCGAAGCGAGCCAAACCGTTACCAAAATGTGACGTGTAAACCCTGCTGATCACTGATTGGCCAGAGAGAATCGTCACTACCCATGTCATTGAACTTGACACGAGACACTAGACCTGCTAGATTAAAACACCACAGCCAGTGAGGATCGAACGCAACTTTTTTTGGACGAACGCAACAGTTTCAAACGAGCGCACCTTTTTTAAAACAACAAAATAATGGCTGTTTTGTGGTCTGTTGAGGAAGTACAGATGTTCCTCTTGTTGATAGCCGAGGAGCGGATCCAGCAAGAGCTTGATGGGACGATATGGAATGAAAAAGTTTTTCAGGAGGTCTCGGCAGTAGAAGCGGCGCAAATATAATGACATGTCAATAATCACACCCACTCTAAAGTGGTATTAAACTGCCGAGCCGTACCGTGCCATGCAGTGGAAAAGTCTCATAAGTTAGACACAAGTTAAAGGAGGAGCTGGGTTGTAAAGCAGTGTGCATTGGATGCAGCAAAGCAGGCTGACTGAAGTGGTGTTTAAATAAGGCACCCTGTTCGATATCTAAAAGTTAGATATCCTACCAACCTTTCTTATCTGATGTACTCATAACAGCACCGTAAGTGACACGTTATCCAAAAATCATAATGTCATTGGTGACATGAGTACCCATCACTACACTATTTCACCTCCCTAGGTTGGTGAAAGCAAAATCTTGATTATGTAATTAGATTCCAAAAATAAAGTACTTGTAATTAGAGTATATTACATTTTTAAATTGATCAGATTACAATGACTTTTTAGTGGATAACATGATTACATATTAATCACACAATGGCAGTAAATTATTCATAATTTATTTATGATCCTTCATTCTTTTTTATTCTATTCTTAATTTTCTTTTTTTCCTCTCTCTTTTAAATTTTCCTTTATAAAAATCCCACCGCGTGTCATTTAGCTTTAACTACATTCACATATGTCGTGTAAATAAATTTGCAAACCATGCATTTTATGATGTTGATATAAAAAATTGAATATAATATGAAAATGCTATTTCTTTATTTTTATTATCAATATGATACATATAATGGTACGTTTAAAACAAGTTTGATAAAAATAATCTAAATATAATCTAAAAAATTAGTGCGACTACGTTACCTAAAATGAGTAACCTATATTATGTTACTAACTACAGTTTTCAGCATGTAATCTGTAATCAGTAATGGACTACAATTTGTAAGTAATCCACCCAGCACTGGATATGGAGCAGATTATGTGGTGCAAATGACAAATTGTATTCGTTTACAAATCATGCACTAAGTGTATTGCGGTCATGACATAGTTGTACATAGTTGTATGCACAAAAAAATAAATCTTTATTTATCAATAATTTGTCCACAAGCTGGAAACTGCAGTAAATTGTATGTATAGGCATTTACACGTTTTTGCAGTTTTGCAGAAATGTAAGCAGAGTCAAATATTTCCAATGAGCCTGGGTGTAAAAGCCCTGTATGCTGGATAAATGTTGTTATTTTTGTACAGTGAGGCTTCATCCATATATGTGACCCTGGACCACAGAACCAGTCTTAAGTGTCAATTTTTCAAAATTTAGATTTATACATCATCTGAAAGCAGAATAAATAAGCTTTCCATTGATGTATGGTTTGTTAGGATAGGACAATAATTGGTCAAGATACAACTATTTGAAAATCTGGAATCTGAGGGTGCAAAAAAATCTAAATATTGAGAAAATCGCCTTTAGAGTTATCCAAATGAAGACCTTAGCAATGCATATTATTAAATACAAATTAAGTTTTGATATATTTACAGTAGGAAATTTACCAAATATCTTCATGGAACATGATCTTTACTTAATATCCTAATGATTTTTTGCATAAAAGAAAAATGTATAATTTTGACCCATACAATGTATTTTTGGCTACTGCTACAAATATACCCCAGCGACTTAAGACTGGCTTTGTGGTCCAGGGTCAAATATGGTCCGTCAAGGAACACCAACCATCACACTGTTGTTTGCTTTATGTAATGAAATGACAAAATAAGTAGAGCTCCTGCATGCTCATCTCATATGAATCCCACTCTGTGGCAGTGAGAAGACTCATTACCAGCTCACGCCAAGCACGTCTCTCCACCTGTATTCAAATCCTGAATGAGTAATTCCATCAAAAAGCTGTCATAATGCCAAAAACTGTTACTTGCTCAAGACCTGAATGTAATGAGTACTACCCTAATAAGCTGAAGAAACAGATTAGCCCTGGCTTGAGACTGCACAGATCGATTAGAAAGAACTAGACATTCATACTATTCAGAAATGAGTTTAAGTTTGATGAGTTTGATTCAGAAATGAGAAAACTTTTCTGTTTTGCTTATTATTTTACATGGACATAACAGAGAAAAATGCAAACATATGAAACAAACATCTGTTGGTGTTTAGCATTTGAATGATTATGTAATTAACATCGCACATCATTAACTACATAATTAACATCTACTACACACCATTGAACATTTCAGCATCTGTTGTCCAGTCGTTTACTTGCATCAACATTAAATTGTTTAAGCGATCATTCTCCCAAAAATGAACAATATTATTTAGTCACCCTTACTTAAGTCGTTTGAATTTTTTTCATGGATATTTTGATTACCAAGTAAAGATTTTCCCCCTCACTTTTTTTTTTAACTAGATTTTATCATGACACATATATAC